CTTAGATAACAGCATTGACCATAACCTTCCACTGAAGCATCTGAAAAATAGTGGACCTCCACTGCTTTCACTGGGCCAAAGTTGTCTGGCTTGAAACATCGCTGTATCTCTAGTTTCTCCAACTGTACGATTTCTCGCCGCCACTTTTCCCACTGTGGGTGTAGATACTCTGGAACAGGGCTATCCCAATCCAACTTGTCTTTGCACATCTGCTGAAGAATCTGTTTACCTCTGAGTGTAACAGGGGCCAGGTACCCATTAGGATCATAAATGGAGCCAATAGTGGACAATACACCTCTTCGAGTTAAAGGGCGATCATGAAGTTCAATCCGGAACCGGAAACTGTCACTTTCAGCGCACCACATCACGCCTAGAGCTCTTTCAATAGGTAATGGATCTACAGCTAAGTTCAGTTCCTTTATTTCCTTTGAATGGTCATCAACCGGAAAGGCTTCAAGAACTTCTTTCTTGTTCGAGACTATTTTATGTAATCTGAGACAAGCCTTGCTACAAATTGCTTGACTGGCCTTGATTAACTGAATGGCTTCGGGTACCGTTGATACAGATTTTAGTCCATCATCTACGTAGAAGTCCTTGCGTATGAACGCCGCAGCATCTGTACCAAACTCTTCTTCGCCATCGTCAGCTGCTCGCCTAAGCCCAAAGTTGGCGCAACCTGGGGAACTGCTGGCACCAAACAGGTGAACTTTCATACGATAGTCGATTACTTCCTTTGATGGGTCCCCATCCAACCACCAAAGAAAACGTAACAGATCTCTGTGTTCTTCAGCAACCACGAACTGATGGAACATGCTCTTGATGTCCGTCATAAATGCAACGCTTTCCTTGCGAAAACGACACAAGATACCCAACAGATCGTTCATAAAGTCAGGACCTTGCAGCAAGTAGTCATTGAGGCTGACTCCGTTAAACTGGGCCGAACAGTCAAACACCACCCTTATCTGTCCTGGTTTCTTTGGATGGTATACACCTGTATGCGGTACGTAATTGACTTTACCGTCTTGAACTTTAAGACGATCTACCGGAACTTCCTCTGCACATTGTAAGATTATGTCCTTCATGAAGGCCTGATAATCAGTAAAGAATTTCGGATTCTTCTTGAATCTGGCCTTCAATTGGTTCCATCTCTTTACTGCGAGTTGGCGGTTATTTGGGAGACACACACTGTCTGATTTCAACGGAAGTGGCATCACGTAACGTCCATCCGATTGTTTCTTTACTCCGTCCTCAAGAATCCTTAGAAATCTCTCATCTTCCATAGAATAAGGTTTGTACTTGGAACTTGTCTCAACAAAGTCAGTCTCTAACACATGGAGAACTTTCTCTGGGCCAATAATCTCTTTAGCCTTCGTGGCGAATGCAAACTGGCTACGAATTTCTGAAGCTGCAACTCTATTGCACACACCCTTGTCTGTGTTTTCAACATCATTAGACTTGCAGACTCTTCCAATAACTCCCCAACCAAGTATAGTCCTCTGAGCGTACGGCTCGTCATCTTCACCGGCAACTATTTCCCTGGGTCGGATAGCTCTTGGGCAATTGTTTCCAATCAGGATAGAAATTTCTGCATCTGGGTGGTACGGTGTCAACTTATCGGCGATGGGCTTCAGATGTTGCCATTCCCTAGCCACTTCAGGTTTTGGAATCTGCGACCGGTTAGCTGAAACAAGTTCCCGGGTGAAGGCCACTGGCATCTTCACTACACATTCTCTATGGTAGTCAAGAATCTCTAGCCCAGATATCTTTTTAGTTTTAACACGGGCATTTTGCTGCTGCATTGTTGTCAACAGAAGCTCGGTTGATGGGCCTTGCAGGTTAAACCGTTCACAAAGAGTCTCAGACACAAAACTGACATTTGAATGATCGTCGAGGACTGCATACTGCAAGATTTCCTTCTCTGGCTCTCCCACTGGTCTGACCCACACTGGTACTATCATGGTGTGATCAAATCCACCGCTTTGTTCAGGAATTAGACATACACTCATACAATTTGAGATGGCAGCATTGTCTTGTGTTAGTTCCTTGTGAAGGCATGTGGGATGTGTTCCTGAGCATGTTTTCATTTTGCATTTCAACCTCTCCTTGCAGTTCGCTACCTGATGACTCTTACTGGCTGCACAACCCATACACAAACGTTCGCGGAAGAAGAAGTCTCTCCTTTCACTGAAAGGCTTTCTACAGAAATCAGCGCAGTCATCTAACTTGTGTTTTGCACCACAAAACAGGCACTTCGTCAAACCATTTGGACCAGGGTCCTTTGATTTACTAGAATTAGTGGGGTCTGATTTACTGTTACCACCACCCTTAGCTGATGTAGAAAGAGAACTACCCTTCTCATTATCTGGTTTCAGCTTCGGATTTCTGTTAAATCTTGGACTACTTGATGTGGCGAGGCCTTCTAACTCTGGGATATTTGCCTTTTCTGCGGCTTCTCTGATGAAATCTGCAAACTTAACAAAGGTAGGGTAACTGGCTTCACCATGGGTATGTCTCCATTGTTTAATTGCATCTCTCCACTTGGTTTCAAGGTAGTAGGGTAACTTTGATAGTAACTTTACATTCTCCTTTGCATAGTCCAGTACAGAAAGACCTGGAATGGTGTTCTTTGCTGCTAATACCTTGTCTAACATGTCTGAGAACTCCCTTAAGGCACTGGCATCCTTGGGTCCTATCTTAGGCCACTTCTCCAACTTGTTAATAAATGCTGTACTCACAACATTACAGTTTCCATACCTTTCCTGCAATACAGACCTAGCTTTCTGATAAGCATCTTCTGTCCCAATCAGAAGATAATGTTCCACAACTTGCTTTGGCTTTCCAGTTACATACTGATTCAACATATTCAGCTTGATGTCTGCTGCCAGTGGTCTAGAGTCAACTAGAGCATTAAAGGCACTCTTCCACACAGGATATTGCAGGGGGTCTCCTTCAAATACTGGAATGGTCAGTTTTGGAAGTTGTCCAGAAACAAACAGTTCTTTGCTCACAGTACTTTGTTCTAAGTTAGCTTCTGTTAACTTGTCCATACACCTTTCTAATGATGAAGCAACCTTTTCCCACCCTTCACAGAAGGAGTTAACTTGACCTTGAGGATGAACAAACTGGTAACTTGAAGGGGAATTCATAACTGTTGACATAATTGGTGATGGACCACTTATGGAGTTAGTTACAACAGGATCAGTTTTTGCCGACGAGAAAGCTTGTGTACAAGCTGCTTCTGTTTGAATGGGAAGACCGAGTTCAGGTTCAAAATGACGAACAGCAAATACTGACTGTGTTACGGCTCCCGGGGAGAATGATGGAGCAGAAGCCCGCAGACCACATGTTGTAGTCTTTGGTGTGGATGTTGTTGTCAAAACAGGTGTTTGGGATACATGTACTTGGGACTGAACTGATGTATTAGTCTCATTTGCACGGGTAGTTACTGTTAGAGATTGCAAGAATCTTTTCACTCCTTCGCCTTTACTCTCACTAGGAAGATTGACTAGATCTTCTTCAAGGGAGGGTGTTTGCTCATTATCAATCTCTTTGCATACACTTAACTTGGCTCTACTAAGTTCAAGTTCCCTCTTAAGTTTGAATTCTTCCAGTTTCTGCTCCTGTTTTAACCTTTCTATTTCTAAGGCCTTTTCTTGTTCCACATAGGCTAGCTTCACCTTCAAAGCAGCTTCTTCCTGTAGAAGCTTATATTTATCTACTTTAGTTGAAAGTACACTGTCTGAACTTGATTTTGACTTGACACTTTTGGTTGTTTTACTCCTCTTTGAACCCTTAGAAATGACAGAATTAGACTCCAAAACTGTTTGTTCCAAATACTTTATCTCATCCCTCACATCTCTTTCAAAATCAGACCACTCACCACAAACTTGCTCCCAGATGTTCCTGACCTTTGCTAACTCATCGTCTTGAACTGTTTCCAAAATGTCATTATATGCATCCACAAATTCATTCCACAGAACCTGTGCCTTACTAAGCTCTTGCTTCCACTTTGATAATTCATTACAATGTCCCCGAAGCAACAGTGTTTTTCTCAGTGTTCCCGTAAAACTTGACCTTTTATTCTTGAAAGAGTTCAACTTTATATCGTTTTGATAGGATTGACCCTTTTCGGTTAGCTTCCTAATACGAACTTCCGACGAATGCTGTTCATTTTCCACATGGAAAAATCCGTTGTTTTCGGCATTCTCCGATAGATCAACAATTAAAGGCGAAGACTTCTCGCAAACATCATCCAAACAATTATTTGAAGCGGAACTTACCACCTCACCACAAACATCCGACATTGGATCCTCAGGAATATCACTCAACTCTCGAGACATGACGAGTACTAAGTCCAAACCAAAGGCGATCAGAACTAGCTTTCTACAAAGGCTTACACCACTTGGTATCCATTCAAATCCTCCACAGGTCGTCCGGCTTTCGTTATGAACTTCTTGTTGTGACAGCGATGACTTTACAGTGGTTAAAAGCTTCACCAAGGACCATTAAGTTGTTATTGTGGCTGCCCTCGAAAGTCGTACTTGGCATCCGAAGGAGTTTCGTTGTTATTCACAAGAAAAAAGAGAAAAACTTGAATCGTCAGATCTTTCCTTTATCTCCAAATAATCTTTAACTCTTCAGTTCTTCAGATAATAGTTCTTCAGATAATAGTTCTTCAGATAACAACTTAGTCTGCCTTACACGATACAGATGAGCGAAGGATTACATGGATTGTAAACCTAAATCACACATGTGATAAACAAGAACATGGCGGCAACTAGCACGAGTCCTAAGCAAAATGGTAACAGCCGCTGACCATAAATACTGAAAACTCCTTACTACAGCATTGCTGTAGTAACACAAGTATTGTTGAAAGATGGAATAAAACCATAAAAAACAAAATGTGGAAAATGTTTACTACAAACAACAATACTGTTTGATGGGATAAAATAGATAAATTAGTTCATGATTACAATAATACGAAACATTCAAGTATAAAAATGAAACCTGTTGAAGCAAGTAAAACGAAAAATGAGAATAAAGTATTTACCAATTTATATGGTGATTTAATATATGAGAAACCTGAAAAACAAAAATTTGCGATAGGTGATAAAGTTAGAATTTCAAAATATAGAAGACAAGTATTTGATAAAGTTTATACTTCAAACTGGACAGAGGAGATATTTGTGATTGATCGCATTATACCTACCAGACCTGTTACTTATTCCATTGTTGATTTGATGGGTGAGGCGATTAAAGGTTCTTTTTACGAACAAGAATTACAAAAAGCAAAACAACAAACATTTAGAATAGAACACGTATTGAAACGAGATAACAAAAAGAAAAAAACATTAGTAAAATGGAGTGGTTATTCTGCTAAATTTAACTCATGGATTAGTTTTAAAGATTGGGTAAATATTTAATACTTTATTAGTATTAAATATTGAATTTAATGTTAAATGTAAAAAATTAATCATCAATATCTGAAATAAAAACAGATTTATCTTCATCATCTTCTTCATCTTCATTATCACTTTCTTTAATCGATAGTAATGCTTCTCTTTGTTTAAGTATTTTGATACACACTTCGTGCGCTTCAATCTGTAACGAAACTATATTTTTACTCACATAAATTGACTCAATAATTATTGCCATTTTTGTATTAAAATATCGATTAAGATACTCAAATGGATCGATTTTTTTCTCATCTTTTGTTCTAAACAATGATAATATTTTCTTGGTTTTATCGGAATAAATTAGTTTAACATATAAAACTGGTGATGCTGATTCATCTTTCTTTTTCTTTGTTTTACCTTTTTTGCCTTTGTATTCTATTTGTTTATAATAGAAGATATTTGTAAAATTAGATGCAAGGTCTGGACCATATTCTTCCTCAATATGTTGCTGACAAAAACTAAAAATATTACTTAATCCATCAAAAAAAGCTTGTTCTTTTTCATTAGGATTTTCGTCTTTTTTCCAAAGACAAACTGGAATTGAATAACCTGTTAATTAATTGGTCTGTTTCTTGATTTTTTCTTTCAGTTACGCCAAAGCAAAAAAGTAATGGAGTTTCAATAACTAACGGTCCATTCTTTCGATTTGAATATTTTGTTTCAATTTTGATTCTTTTATATTTGAGTGTGGAATTAGTAACTGAGTATTTTTTTGCCTCATGAAATACTAAATTTTCTTTGCTAAGGTTATCGAATTTGGTAAGTTGCATTTTATTAAAATAAATATTTCTTTAAATTATAAATATTCAAAAGTATATTTTTTTTGATAATCTTTAATATGGTAAATTCACATTCCAGTAATTAGCATATCTTGGTATTTTATAGGTATACTCATCATCTTTATTTTTGATTTTCTTAACTCTTTCAAGATATTTTTCTCTCTTTTTTTCATCACCATGAATCAAAGAGTCATCTTTTTTAATTGAACCAAAATAAATCTTTTTACCAGCATAATCTACTACGTATTTATTGTATACTCTACTAGAATAACCTAATGATGTGGCTCCAAGCTTTTTTGCTTTTTTTTTTGTTGCTTTTCAAAAGCTTCACCTGTTACAACTTTTCTTACTACTTCTTGTTTTATAACTACTTTATCATCATCAGTTTTTTCTACTTTTGGTTTATTTTTTCTAATTACTTTTTTAACTTCTTTTATTATTTCATCAGATGAATCATAATCAGTGACTAATTTTATTTCATCATCATCAGATTCATTTTTTACTTTATCACTGGATTTCTTTTTATAATTTAAATCTTTTCCAGTTTTTGGTTTCATATTTTCTTTTATTTATTGTTCATATAAAAGAATAATAAAATAAATAAAATGAAAGTGGAAACAGATGAAAAAGTTAATGTAAAAATATTTGCTGATAATAAATATGTTGTTTTTGTTGTAAATGATGAAACATGTAGTGCTGATATTACTTTTCAAGATAATTATAAATATGATGAAAATTTCGCCAGCTTAATAGTAGATAAATTGAAAATTAATGCTGACTAAAGTCTTACATTAATTTTGTAATATAAGACTTAAATTTTATTCATATTTCTAATATTTTAAATTTTGCATTCAAAGTATTTAATTTAAAATTATCAAAGTTTATTCTCTCTTCATTTGCTTCTCGATTAATATTAATTACTTCTAACCAAATATCAGTATAACGTGGGGGTAAATCTTCATTATCATATCTATAATAAATACATCTTTCACCCTCTAAAAAAAATACATCTTCATTACCACGATCAAGCAATGAATACTCTCCATCTCTGTCTTTATTTATTTCTGATCTTAAAAATGAATAACCGTATTTTTTTTTCATGATATTCTCTCTCGAAATACTTATCAAATGATTTATGAAGTTTTTTACTTGAATAAGGTAAACTAATAATTTTGCCATTATAACTGATTTGGGTATTGCAGTTTACTGTGTTTACCTTTTTATTGAATTACGCTTTTCTTTAAGCTTCTTTAAAAAAAATCAATTTTATTTTTCTGACTCAGATTATAAGTTATTCTAAGGTATTATAAGTTATTATTTACTGAATACTTATGATAACCTGAATTATATCCCACCCCATCTCATACTATTTTCCGATTATCCCCATATTAAGTCAATATTTCGTAATTATTTTAAATACTATATTTTATCATTAATTTTGTGATTAAAACTATCTGCTAAAAATAGACAAATTTTTAATAACATAAATAAACAGAATAATACGACAAACAGATGGTAGCTCGTCATTTTTCTGATTAATTTATGTTAATAAAAATATTTCTAAAATCCGCTTTTGCTTTTAAGTACAAAAACAATGATAGAAAATAGACAGTAAAATTTAAATGACAGATGACGGTAGATATGACAAGGATAATCAGAAAATAGTATGAGATGGGGTGGGATAGAAGACAGGTTATCATAACTACTGTCGAGTGTAGTTTATGGGGCTATTTACTTTATGCACGTTTGTAAGATTTGAGACAATGATCTGACCGAGTATCAGGTTTGATTATAAGCTCATAGAACTTTAAAAAGGCTTCAGACATTTTCTCACCGCAAATAGAAAGAAAACGTTCCAAATAAAATTTATTTATAATTCTGGTTGTAAAAGAAAGCTTTGAGCGATTTTCTTGCCTCGAGTTCATCTTTGAAAAAAGCAAAGACCGGGAAACCGGCTTAAAACATAAACAAGGATTTTCAGAGACACTTGAATACTTGTCTTCGTGATTGAAAATTGTTGTCTCTGTATATTTTTCACCGAATTATTTTCCTTTTATTATTGGCTATTAGTAGACTCTTTGCAATTTTAATCGCTGTGCCGTTTTTTTTTTTCAGTCGTTCATGAACATCGCTTGCAGGAGTAGTCAAAATGCAACGCGTATCAAACGCTTTTGAAGATTACACATCGTTATAAAATCATTAGATAAAAAATAAACATAATAAATTATTTATCATGTTGAAGCGTATAACTCTAAATGTTAATTTAAACCGTAGACTTTGGCGCTTTTCAAAAGTGAGAACCGGCTAGTCGTACAGGTGATTTTGGAAAGTTTGTTGACGGTTTCGCTAAAAGCCCACGCGTGCTTCGATCGTCCTAAATATTGAATGAGTGCAATTTGTATTGCAAAATTGTGAAATACTGCATTTTGTCAGAGGTCTGTATGATAAAAACAGCCCCTCGTGGTACTGTTTCACCTCAGATGTGATGTATAAAAAGTATAAAAGGCTGGTTTACACGTCCCCAGACTTGCTGGCAAGATTTTGTAAAGTTAACTTGTCGAACGCAATTCGGTCTGATTTGTTTTCCAAGAATTTGTTTTCCAGGCCTAATCTACTATGATCAAGAGCCATTATGGCTATGCTATTTTTTGGGTGTACAAATAAGGCTATCAACTCGATGTAAGATTAAGTTCACTCTTAGCTTGGACTGTTTGCAAATTATTTTTTCTCTAAAATCACTTAGCCTTTCCCTCAAAAGTCACTTGAATGTGTTCTAAAGTTAACTGATTTGTGGAATACAAATTTTTTATTTTATTTGAATTATAAATTGAAGTTAATAGGAGCTTCGCTTTTAGTCCTGGCTTGTGTGGCTTGTGTGGGTGGCAGTACTGACTTATGGGGGTGGATGATGAGCCCCAGCCTAGTAAATAAATCAATTGTGTCTGTGATGTTATCATTGCATACAGATACATTATCTCCCTGTAGGTATGAATCATCAATGTATCCAACATTTAAATGTCCTTTACGCCTCAGTGTGGCATAAACAGGTTTGACACCTTTGTGAATAATCGAGGTGCGCAGGAAAGTCGATTTGGTAAACAGGTGAATTGAAACAGTGTTTCCTTCCAGTGGAATTTGAACAATTTTTGTTTTTTTGTATCAATAGGTATTGAATAATATTCATCACACAAATCATGTTCTCGCGCTTTCTTGCTCGCTTTCCTCTTCGTGAGCAATTTCTAATTCTCCTTTGAACGTCTCAAACGCCTCAGCGATGGTATTAGCCGTGCTGGTGGACGTGGCTGATAGTGTTAGGTTGAGGTTATCAACTCCTTCTCGCATAACAGTCAACATGAGCTGCATATCTTGTGATACAGCAGGAACACGAGAGGCGTCATTTATGGCTTCACTATCTGTTACAATCAACTACTTCTCGCATAACAGTCAACATGAGCTGCATATCTTGTGATACAGCAGGAACACGAGAGGCGTCATTTATGGCTTCACTATCTGTTACTTGTTTGTCGATGGTTTCGGACGAAGAGAGGATATTGCCTGCCGGGATAGGATTATGGATTTGACTTCCAGTTTGAAATAGGTTTTGAAAAGAGAGAGGTAACGTTTCATGGGGGTACAAGCACATAAAGGATCCGACTTGGAATGAAAGCAAACTATAAAATGATGGCAAAAATGCCAAGTTTTTTTAGTATGATTACAAAACAAAGCTATGAGGACTATCTTAAGGGCAAACCACCTGACTTGTTCACAAACGATAAGAGACAAACTAGGACTTTAAACTCCATCTAGTAGGCGAAGATTTATGCATCTTCAGCTGGTGTTCAATATTATTAACAATCAGCTTTGTCCTACGGAACTTCATAATTATTTGACCTTGAGATCCGAATGCCGTGGTAAGACCTTCAGAGAAATTCATGAGAAGTTCATCTGCCTAAGTAAATTAAAATCCACTATTAGCCAGTTTACCTTTAGATTTACAGGAGCAAAGGATTGGAATAAGTTACCTTTTTGAATTACGGGTTGCTGGAAAAAAAAATTAGGATCTTTTAAAAGGAAGACATTTAGGTATTTGCAAGAATAAGACAAAACACAGCATAAAATAATGTAAATATGCAGATTAATTCATTTTCATTTTTTAACACCTTTTTTATTGTAAATATTAGTCTTTCC